TCACCGGCTCGCGTTCTGTGTCGCTCTCCTGGCCCAGTCCCATCAGTATCAGGCCTGAGGTGTCCAAAACCGCACTTGTCTCGGGTCTCCAAGCTCACACCGGCTCGTGATGCCACGGAGAGGGCTCGAGATTGTCCTCGGTGGACCCCATCCGAGGCAATTGCGAGGGCGTTACGGAGGTCATTACCGGCGCCACCGAACGTGATATGTCTCGTCCCGCAGCCCTCATGCACCAGGGCCATGGGTGCAGTCATAATATGTAGGCCTTCTCTCCCACAGTTTTGAGCAAGAGCCGCAAACAACGCTTTTTGGCACCTTCACCGCGACAAGGTCACACGCGGACGCTCCAGCCTCTCAGCTCACCACCTCGCCTTCTCTGTCGCTCTCCTGGCCCAGTCCCATCAGTATCAGGCCTGAGGTGTCCCAAACCGCACTTGTCTCGGGTCTCCAAGCTCACACCGGCTCGTGATGCCACGGAGAGGGCTCGAGATTGTCCTCGGTGGACCCCATCCGAGGCAATTGCGAGGGCGTTACGGAGGTCATTACCGGCGCCACCGAACGTGATATGTCTCGTCCCGCAGCCCTCATGCACCAGGGCCATGGGTGCAGTCATAATATGTAGGCCTTCTCTCCCACAGTTTTGAGCAAGAGCCGCAAACAACGCTTTTTGGCACCTTCACCGCGACAAGGTCACACGCGGACGCTCCAGCCTCTCAGCTCACCACCTCGCCTTCTCTGTCGCTCTCCTGGCCCAGTCCCATCAGTATCAGGCCTGAGGTGTCCCAAACCGCACTTGTCTCGGGTCTCCAAGCTCACACCGGCTCGTGATGCCACGGAGAGGGCTCGAGATTGTCCTCGGTGGACCCCATCCGAGGCAATTGCGAGGGCGTTACGGAGGTCATTACCGGCGCCACCGAACGTGATATGTCTCGTCCCGCAGCCCTCATGCACCAGGGCCATGGGTGCAGTCATAATATGTAGGCCTTCTCTCCCACACAGTTTTGAGCAAGAGCCGCAAACAACGCTTTTTGGCACCTTCACCGCGACAAGGTCACACGCGGACGCTCCAGCCTCTCAGCTCACCACCTCGCCTTCTCTGTCGCTCTCCTGGCCCAGTCCCATCAGCATCAGGCCTGAGGTGTCCCAAACCGCACTTGTCTCGGGTCTCCAAGCTCACACCGGCTCGTGATGCCACGGAGAGGGCTCGAGATTGTCCTCGGTGGACCCCATCCGAGGCAATTGCGAGGGCGTTACGGAGGTCATTACCGGCGCCACCGAACGTGATATGTCTCGTCCCGCGGCCCTCATGCACCGAACGGATGCATGCAGTCATAATAGGTAGGCCTTCTCTCCCACAGTTTTGAGCAATAGCCGCAAACAACGCTTTTTGGCACTTGCATCGCGACAAGGTCACACGCGGACTCTCCAGCCTCTCAGCTCACCACCTCGCCTTCCCTGCCGCTCTCCTGGCCCAGGCCCATCAGTAGCAAGCCTGAGCCGGCCCGAACCACACTTATCTCGGGTCTGCAAGCTCACACCGGCTCGTGATGCCACGGAGAGGGCTCGAGGTTGTCCCCGGTGGACCCCATCTGAGGCGATTGCGAGGGCATTCCGGAGGTCATCATCGGCGCCATCGACCGTGATAATATGTCTCGTCCCGCAGCCCTCATGCACCGAACGGATGCATGCAGTCATAATATGTAGGCCTTCTCTCCCGAAGTTTTGAGCAATAGCCGCAAACAACGCTTTTTGGCACACTTGCATCGCGACAAGGTCACACGCGGACTCTCCAGCCTCTCAGCTCACCACCTCGCCATCTCTGTCGCTCTCCTGGCCCAGGCCCATCCGTAAAGCCCGAGCTGTCCCAAACCGCACTTATCTCGGGCCGTCAAGCTCACACCGGCTCAAACGACCCACACACGGGCCCTCACACGCACATTACAGATCATAGACGCCACCGAACCCGCCGCCCGGACGCGCGGGTACGCACCGCCGCGCGTGCCGTCGCCGCGAGTACGGGAGCGAGCACGCGTGTGTGCGCCGCGCCTTCGGCCGGTCGCCCTCGCCGCCGCCACAGCGCTGCCACGGCGGCAGCAGCCTCGGCGCCGCCGCCCGCCGCCGCCCAGACGCGCGGGTACGCCGCGCCGCGCGTGCCGTCGCCGTCGAACGAGCGCCACGGTGCCGGTCGTCGCCGCGCGCGAGCAAGCGCGGCGCCCCTTCTGATGCAGGCGCGGCGGGCAGCGCCCGCTACGACGCCTCGCAGGCTGAGCCTCGGCGGCGTCGAGGTCGGTCGCGCTCGCTCCCGCGGGCGCGGCGGTCGCCACCGATCCGGACGCGGCCATGGCGGCCCTCGCGGCCGGCGCGCAAGCCGCAGAGCCTGCCGGAGGTGCCACCCGAGCGGCGAGGTGAGTCGGTGGTGGCGGTGGCGAGGCCTATGGCGGTACGAGCGGGGCTGATAGAGGCTCGTCGATAGTGCATCGGCTCGGAGGCTGCGATTAGCGGCTAATCACCGGGTGAACGCAACTGCGCCGCTCGCCACCAAAACGCCGCCGAGAGCCGCCGCCGGCTGCGTCGCGACCGCCGCCGCGCGGCTCGCGGCGGTGGACCCAGCGTCGCCGCTCGGAGCCGCCTATATACTCGACCAAGACTCGGGCTCACGGCCGCGAGAGCGACGGGGCTGGTAGACGGCCGCCGGCGACCTAGCACGGCGCTGCACGCCGCAGAAACGCCGCCGAGAGCCGCCGCCGGCTGCCTCGCGACTGCCGCCGCGCGGCTCGCGGCGGAGGACCCAGCATCGTCGCTCGGCGCCGCCTATATACTCGACCAAGACTCGGGTCACGGCCGCGAGAGCGACGGGGCTGGTAGACGGCCGCCGGCGACCTAGCACGGCGCTGCACGCCGCAGAAACGCCGCCGAGAGCCGCCGCCGGCTGCGTCGTGACTACTGAGCCCGCGCGCCGCGCGCGGGCGAGGGGAGCGGCGACGGGGCGGTGGGCGACGAGCCGCAGCAGCTGCGCCTGAAAATGAGGTGGCGGCGGGAACTAGAGCGTCATCTGCTGCCGTGCGGGCAAGCGATCACCGCCCTCGAGCGCGCCGCGGCAGTAGTCCGTCCGAACCAACGCGACAGCTCGGACCGCGCGCCGTGCTCGCGCGGCGGTGAGGGGGGTGGCGGTGGGCGGTGCCGGCGGCGAGCCGCAGCAGCGCAACGGCAACGCAAAGGCTGCGGCCTGAGAGCGCCGGAGAGGAGGCGCTCAAGAGGTGGCGCACCTCAACAGCGCTCCTCCGGAGCAATCGATTCGGAGACCTCGCCGCCGCCTCGCCGCGCGGCTGAGCCGGCACAACCTTCCGGGCCTTCAGGTCTCCACAGCGCCGCCCGCCACTCGTAGCTTTTTCTTTTTTATCTTTTATCTAACGGGGCTGCAAACAACTTATCCACTAGCTCTCGAACCAAAAAACAGAAAATTTGCGGACGGCTCGAGTTGTGCTCTGATACAGACTACCCAACCCACAGGGCCACAGGTTGCAAATTTCTTGGTTGCAGCAGGCAGCCTGATCGATCGAAATAAATACAAGCCGGCAAAGCCGGCGGTCGCAGCCGTGCTCTAGAGAGATATCGCAGTCTCAAGTGAGCTTCCAGGCTGAGCCGGTGCAGAGTGTGCCGGAGCAGCCGGCGCCGAAGAATAATCGTATCCCCAAGTGCCCCACGCCCCGTATTCGAACTCCTCGGCCTCGGCGGCAACCTCGTCTAGTGCCTCATCCGCCCTCTGCAATGAGTCTGCCGAATTGTCGCTCTCCGCTGCCGGTGCTGGCGTGTCTCCTAGGTAGCTGTTGAGAGCTTGCACAAACTCATCGAGTGAATGCACGACGACAAACACAGCACCCGCCCGAACCAACCGTGTGCGCCACTCCTGTTGGCGTTGCAGCCGAGCACCGGGTACTTTCACCTCGACTGCCAAGCCGATCTCGTTTAAGGCTCCTCGCCAGTGCACGAAAACATCCGGGTAGCCGCTCGAGCTCCCGGTTGTTCGGAGTGCGTTCCATCGTATGGCGCCAAGGCGACCGCCGCCAAGGAAGGCGCCATTGAAAGAACCCACAAAGGGCATGTCAGGCCAGTGTTCGCGCAAAAAGTGAGCGATTGCCTTCTGTATCTCACGCTCGCGGCGATGCCGAGAACGCGTCATGTTGAGCACGGCGCGACTGTTATGACTTACGTAAAAAAGTTTGTTTTAGAATCGCGAGTGTTCAGTGAGATCAATCGAATAAGTACACTATACTCCCGGTGACCACCCGCAACCATTCGAGGCGATTTGCAACGCTTTTACTGCATTTTTTTGAAAAACCCCACCCTATATGAGATACCAAGCCTGGGTATTTCGATTGCGGCTGTAAGGTCACTGTAAGACTTACAGGTAGCTGTAAGGTCAATTGAAATACCTGGCTGGGGTATATCGATTCGGGGCGGATATTTTTCACTTTAATAGTTTTCCTTAACTTATTTCGCACACATTTGCCCCCCCAACCAGTAGAGGTTGAAACACAACTTTTTTGCTTTATGAGGTGCAATATGAGGTGTGGATGGAGCGCTAATGAGTCACTAGGAGCGCCGTTCGAGGGGGCCGATAGGCGTGACACGGCTCAAATTTGGGTTAAAAACTTCGTATTTTTGGCCTTGAAATGGCAAATTTTCTTCGGGGGGGCTCTGCCCCCCCAAACCCCCCCGCTGGGGGGGGCAAAGCCCCCCCCAGACCCCCCCCCTACACTGGAGTGGGGTGGTTTACAGGGTTGAGAAGATATACGCTCTAGGTATTGCAATACCAGGGTATGGCTGGGTGGGTTTCTTTTGTTGAGGAGTTCAAGAGGATGACAAGACTCACATCGTACGAGGCGCGCTCTGTTTCAGTGCGTCGTACATGTAGCTCGTACGGGTGGGCGTCCTCTCTGTGTATGAGCGGGACTGTTACGACCACAGTCGGGTACGGACTCCATGCGGAGAGAGAGAGAGAGAGAGGGAGACAACCGATGCGAGTCGACTGGTGTGTGTCGTCGTGGTTTCGTATCAAGAATTCTCTCTCTCTCTCCATGCGGACCATCAGTGATGTATTTTTTTTTCAGTGTCTTTGCTGGAGAACGCCCTCGGGAACACACGTGCAACACCCCCGACAAGGTGCGACACCCAGGAGCCAGGTCCGCGCGCGCCCTCGCCTGCACAGCGACGCGCGCCCGCCAGGTCGCCGCTTCTCCCCGAGGGCGAGCACAACCCACAGTTTCGTCCGCGCGGGCACGGCCGACTCTGCCAGGCACCCCCCTCGCTGGAACCGGGGTCAGCCGTGCCGCGCTGCCTCATGAAAGATTCGGACTCAGTACAGACGCAGGGGTGGAGACCCCACGCAACGCGCTGCGAGGGCGGCGCCTCACGGCGGCGCCGTCTCTGATGTGAGCCCCTCGGACGGAGCCTCCTCAGTCGACGTTGACCTCGGCGGCACGCGACTCCTCATCGCTCCACGACCGCAGCGTCATCGAGGTGGAGTCGTCGGCGGCAGCCTCGAAAGCCGCCTTGGCAGCCGCGAGGCTCGCGTCGTCGAAGACGAGGGTGCGCGCCCCGCCCGACTCCCACACGGCGCGGGAGACGTCTTCGTCGAAGCACTTGGAGTACTTGGCAACGATTTCGGCCCAGGTGGCGTCCGCGCGGATGGGCGCGAAGACGAGCATGTGCCGCGGCAGCTGCGAGGTGGAGAGAAGGTGGACAGAGTCTGACTCCTCTGGCGGCGGCGCGCGCTTCGGCGGGGGCGTGGGCTTCGCCTTCTTGCGTGGAGGCTCCTGCACGTCGTCCGCAGCGTCGGCCGAGGAGGAGGCCCCATCGGCGGTGGGCGCATCCGGCTGGCCGGCGAGCCAGTTGTCCCACGCCTCGATCGCCTGGCTCGTCGGCGCGAAGAGGGGCTCCCGCAGGTCCCAGCGGACATACCTCGCACCATTGGAGGGGGTGCGGTATCCAGGCACAAAGTACGACCGAACGGGTACCTGGCCCCGTGCGAGCGTCTTCTCCTCATTTCGCTTCTGCCCCCCTCGCGACGTGTCCTGCGGCTGAAAGTCCGACATTTGTGCGAGTCGCCATCCGGGCGGCAGAGGCTTGGAGTAGCAGGTGCGGAGGTTGTGCCCGAACATGCCGCAGTAGCCGCAGCGCTGATCGCCAGCCGCATACGTGTTGCCCAGCATCTGCTCAGCGTGGTCCATGCGCGCCTTCGCGACGGCGCCGACGAGGTCGTCGAGCTGCGAGATATCGAGCAGCTCAGGCAACGACGGTGCCATCATCTTGAGGGAGTACGCCATCTCAGGCCCGCCGATCTGCTGGTGCAGCTGGACGTGGGCCCAGACGTGCACGCAGAAAGGCAGCGGCACGACAAATGGGAGTGCCCCACCAAGCGATTTCGGACAGGGGTGATGGTTCTCGACAGCGCCAGGGCACTCCGGGCGCTTCTCCTCGTACAGACCGTACACCGCCATCACGAACTGGTAGTCGTAGGACATGCGATAGAGGAAGGTCTTGGTGAATGCAGTCTGTTCCGAGAAGTCCGACAGAAGGCCCGCGATCGCCTGCTTCAGGTCGGCGTCCTGCGAGGCGAGGATTTCCTTGAAGTCGACGTAGTACGCGTTCTGGTCCCGCAGGTTGCCCTTGTCGAAGTCGTCGTAGATGCGCTTTGCGGCCGCGAGAAGATTGGCCTTGGACCACGTTGACGGCGGCGACATGGTGAGAGCGAGGCAAGCAACTGGGTGGTGAGAGCGAGGCAAGCAGTGCCGAGTCCTGAGTGATTGAGGAGACCTCGCGGCTGCCAAGGCGGCTTTCGTGGCCGCCGGTGAGAGGGCGGGCGCGCTGCAGTGTGTCTCCCCCTCTTGTGCGTCTCTTCTGAGTCCGAAAAGTCTGTATGTACTCCTCTTCCCTCTCCTCTCGTGCGCGCCCCCGCCCCTACCCTTCTGTTCCCTCCGCGCGCCGCCGGGCGCGCTTGCTCGCCTGAACACTTGTCTTGGGAGCCACGACGAAAAATTATCATTAGGGGAAAACAATAAACCTATTAGGGAAAAAGGAAAATCATCCACATCGACAAAAAGGCGAAGTTCGCTGAGGCGAGGGGAGGCGCGTGGTCCGTGGAGGAGAGACGAAACAGGCGTGTTTGAATTCCTTAGTGCCAGTGCGCGCCACCCCCATGCCCAGAAAGGAAGAAAGAAAACCGACACTCCAAGGGAGGGTTACGGTAGCGCCCCCACATACACAGTGGGGAAAAAAGAAAGATAGGGCGGCGGCGTGAGCAAAAAGAAAGCGTCCCTGCAACGGGGGAGCACCGGGGAATTCTTCTTTACGTCGATTCTTCCCCCTGTGATCGTCCTTTATTTCCAAAATCCTGCTCGTGCAGGTGG